CGTTCAAATGCGCAACAAGTTGAAATTGTGGGAATACAAAGATACTTCACAAGAAAGATTTAAGGAGTGGATTGTGATCAGGGTCACTTCGCACGATTTGATGCATTAGGGTTCGAAACTCTTTAAAAAAGAGATTTTGGCCCAATATTACATATTACTTAAAGGTCTTACACAAATAAACACACTCTTTAAATCTAATATCGGGCTTCAACAACTTGCCCCATTATAACCTAAGGAAAACAAACCATTTAATATATAGATGCACAGACAGTAATCACCTCTTTAAAAAGAGACCCTGTAGGGCTAGTGAAATATGACTAGGCCATAGCCAAATCACTCAGCTGTTGAGTCACTGATCGGCGAACATTTAATCGATCCTCGTCAAAGTCAATAACAAACAACTCGCATCGGTTAACTGTACACAATGTGATGCATCACGGTTGGAACACGGACTGCCTCATGAGGTGGAGATTACATACCTTTCCTTGTACGTAACTATACCAATGTATTTCCGTGATAATGTCGTTTTTGTAGTACGGTCATCAAGGTGCACAAAGTGCTTGGATATGACGAAAGGGTAATCCACGTTAGACACTAACCATGAAGTATGATTTCACCATAAGCTGGTTGGTCTAATCCAAGTAGGCAACCAATCATCCGACACAGCTCTTCCACATTGGTGATCTACGCTGGTAAGAAAGTCTTCGAATAACGCACCCTGTTATTATGTGCTTTATTATTGAACTCTATGCTCATTCTTATTCGTTTCCGTCGTCACTGAAGTGTGTAGATAACTGTAAACATTCTCTGTTTTATCTCACTGTTGATTGATTTTCGAGTTCAACTAACACGATCGATCAATAAAAATCACAAATCGATCACCATTATAATAGGACACAATGGATTTTCAAGAAGTATTAGCTGCATGTGAGTGCTCCTGCATAGGATGTTCTGTCACACTATCTAAATAAAGATTTATTCACTACAAGTCAGGTTTCTTCTATCAAGAGGACAATGAGGAGCCAACCGGCACGAAAGACATATCCACTACAATAAAAGTAATATGGCCGAAACTGCCGAACACAACTACACTCAAGTATGTGGAAGAACGTTCAAATCTTATGATTTTATTATCGTTGCACAACTATCTGTTTTGGGTCCAAATTCAGTTCAGCCGTTTCTTCTCCCGATCATATCAAGGTTTACTGACAAAAATAACGAAGTGTAAATGCCTGTTTGAGTTTTGAATTATGTTAATAGATTTCGAAAAGTAAATATTATCATCTGTTGGTGATTTGATCGCCCGGTTATCAAAAAGCCTAGGATTTAGAAACCTGCTTCTACCTCCAAACAACATCGTGCTGAACCTGAATGCACCGGAAAACCTGCGAAAACAATAACGGTCCGTGATGACTCTCTCATAGTCATGAACCTCAAAGACAACCCTGACCTTTCTTTCAGTTTGCAGGACAAAAATGACAGGATGCTCCGTGGTGAATTGAACAAAAAGCTTGAACTTCCTAGACTATAACCTTTGCGGTCACACGGCTCACTCGAGGAAAGAAATACAAGCATCAAGATCACACGAGGCTACTTCGTGTAACACTTAAGAATGCTACCGAAGTAAAAGATGTCCTTCCAGCTAGTCATCTACTGAAATCCGATGGGAACGTCAGAATACTGCCCGACATACTGTATTCTGAGCGCAATCTCATCCGGAACATCCCTATAGAATCTTGAGGCAAGTTTTTCTGCAGAAGAAATATCATTGTGCATGGTGTACTGGAAAACATGGACCCAGACCAAGCAAACTCTGACGTTCGGGGATGGAAATTCATCAAGCAGTCCTTGAGGCTCAAAAACATATTGACTCAGCATGTGACGAGACTAGGCAAAATGGATGAGCGACATGAACTTAGCAATGCTAATAAGGTTCACCAGAAGCTAGCAATACCTGGGATGTCTTTGTTTCGCAGCGACAGAAAAAGAGGAATTGGGGGCGAAGAAGCCGTTTACATATGATCTTGCTTGAAGGCACACTAAGTTTACAACCATAAGTCTAACAATCTTGATGAATCCACATTGTGCTCTGTAAGATTGTCTACTACTTCGATGTGACCAGCGGACACCGAGTATAACAGTCGTATGCTGGAAGGACTATCGCGCTCTACGCATCTCGATTTCACTCATATCCTGATTCTAATGGACTTCAATCTCCCTAGAATCAATTTCGCGGAATATACGTATATTGGAGGTGAAAACTCAAGTGAAGCTCGGTTCTTCAACGTCATTGAAGATTTGAGATTATACGGAAATGTGAAGTCCGCAACTCGTTGAAGAAACAGTCAGACACCGTCGCGCTTAGACTGTGAATTTACAAATGAAGAATTTCTAGTTGACAACCTCTCAATCCTGTCGCCCCTGGGAAAAGCGATCACGCCGTTATAGCCTTCAGTTTTGTCAGCAAAACTGAGCTAAGATATCCCAACAACAACAGGCGCTGGAATTTCAAACGGTTGAACATGTCAGCTCTACAGGACTATCGACGACGGGTGGATTGGGATGTTCACCCTCAACTTGATTTGGATGCTCATTGGAACTTCTTACTGTACACGCCCTTATGTGATACGAAGCAGTCAGTTCCTCAAACGGTCCTCAAAAGCCACAGGCAACCTACAATCGTCAAAAACCGCACTCTTCGTTTGTTAAGCCGTAAAGGGCACTGTTGGGCAGAATACAAACGAACTGACAACAACGATGAGTACAGGCAATACAATCATATGCACGAAGGCTATAAGAGAAGACAGGCTTCAGTACCAGTTAAAGCTTAGGGATAAATTTATTTCCAATCCGAAAAGCTTATTCTGTTACGCAGCCACTCTTCGTCAAGCCAAAACTGGAGTTTCTCAACTGCTAGGTCCTAACGGCCCGACCGATAACGACGGTGACGCCTCTAAACTTCTGACTGAGCAATACTCCAGGACATTTCAACCGTCCCACGTCAACTATACTGATGAAAGCTTCATCTGCAACTGCACAAGACTTTTCGTAGTGAACCTGAGCGCTGACTTGGTGTTCCGTAAACTACAACACCTAAGAACAGACACTTCTCCTGGCCCAAATATGGTCCATTCTGCTATACTGAGGGAAGCAGCTTCAATCCTAGCAACACCGCTTAGCGTGATGTTCCCACATTCGTTAAGTCGAGGTAAACTACCGAAAATTCGGAGGCTGACTCATATTTATTTTTTATTTTATTTATTTATGGTTTATTCAAGATTATATTTTGGTACAATATAGAATTCTCAGCACAAAAATATTTCAACAAGTTTGTTTTACAAAAAAAGTAACGGTTAATAAAAAAATCTTCAAAGGAGGTCGACGCAGCGATACTTCACGTTACCGAACGGTGGCTCTTCTCTCTATACCTTCAAAAATCATGGAGTCCTGAATATACGATGAAATACACGACTATCTGCTGTCCTTAAATTTCTTCTCACCCCGGCAGCATGGTTTCAGGAAGGGTTATTCCTGTATGACGAGCCTGCTGACTGCAGCGGACAGATGGACAAGCATCCTTGATCGCAAGGGGAAGGTGGATATCATTTACCTTGATTTCTCTAAAGCTTTTGATAGGGTTAACCACATATGTCTTATCAATAAGTTCAGACAATTGGGTATCAAACCACCTTTAATCGACTGGCTCAGTTCATATCTAACAAATTGACATTTTAAGGTCAGGGTAAACTTCGATTTATCACAGGCTATGGGATGTTCTAGTGAGGTGCCCCAAGGCTCAGTATTAGGACCTCTTCTCTTCTTGCTTTATAAGAATGATCTTCCTCGACAGGTAACGTCAGACTTATTACTTTTTGCCGATGACGTAGAACTTTGGAGAAAGATACGCAACCAAGGGGACATACAGGCATTTCAGGAGGATCTGACTAGACTTCAAAGTTGGGCAGACGACAACGGACTTGCCTTTAACACTTCAAAGTGTAAAGTAGTCCATCTGCGACACGTCGCAGATTACAGTTACAACTTAGGAAACTCCTCTCTAGTAGTATCGCGAGTCGAAAAAGATTTAGGAGTCCTGGTGCCTTACGACTTAGAGTCTTACTCCAACTGTGACAGAAATGCCTTTCGAACAAACCTTGCAATGGTAACATTGAAGCGCATTTTTGGTCAGTTTGACGAGAAAACTTTCTACATAATCTTCAATAGCTTTGTTCGTCCCCATTTAGAGTACGAAAACATAGTATTCCCTCCTACACTCCAAAAGAATAAGGACACTCTGGAGCATACCAAACGGCGAGCCACGAAATCAGTTCGGGGACTAAAATTTAAACCTTACGATGAGCGCCTCCAATCACTTGACCTTTATCCATCAAAGTATAGGCGTCTTAGAGGTGACCTTCTAATGGCTTACAGTATCCTTAACACTCCTGGACATCTTCTTAAACACCTACTTAAGCTTAGTCCCAACACCAACCTAAGGGGTAACACCCAGAAATTGGAGATACAACATGGCAAAACGGACTGCAGGCACAACTTCTACTCCTTAAGAGTTTTCAAATGCTGGAATTCGCTGCCGGCTGAGCTATTCCAAGCGCCTTTCCAGGAGTCTTTTAATAGGCGACTTGATCTATTCTTGAGGACGAATGATAGTATCTTACTATGATTTACCAATTTCTTTTTTCTCTTATATAGTTAATATACATAGGTTCTAGCCTGGATGTATTGGTGATTCCTTTCTACTAGACACGGAAGCCTGTTAAGCGAAAGCTTCTTCTATTCCATTCAGAATCATTTGAACCATTTACTGCATCACGACCCATCTCTTAATCATCCAGGTGTTTGGATTCTGTCTTTCGATTTAAGTAGTGAAATTAGATGGGAAATATGATTGACGTTTATATACGACTCACAAGTGAATATTCAATGAGTATTCTTATTTTTTCAGATTGTTTTTTCGTGCTGCCATTCAAGGTTAAAGCTGCGAAATAGCGTGTAGGATTATTAATATTTCTGGTTTGGATTCCTGTAGTAGTGTCAGTTTCTTTGAAAAGTATGTCTCGCAAGAGACAATTACGTAGCTCACCCATCCTATTATGAGTCAGATTCAGATTTTTTCAGTAAATACAGAAAGTTTATGGTCTATGCTATTCCTATTCTAGTTCACTTCTGTGAGTGGAAACTGCTTCGAGAATCAGGTTCCAAGGATTGATGACTCGGTGTGAAAGTCTGTATGCCACGGGTATTTTTTTCGTTGTTGGCTTTTCTACTCACCTGCTATGTCCTTTGAGATGTCCCGTTCTAGCGGGAAGAAAAAGAAATGGTGAGATTACAATTTATGCACAACCTTTGAGCGACGCTAAAAAGACCTTGAGAATGTCCATCTATGTACTGCGGTTACTTGAGAGTTATAAACCAGTGTTAGGAATTAGATATAGGGTTTACGTCACAAACTGAGGTAAGCTATAATCCCAAAACTCGACTTATCTAAATGAATAGATTAATTTCGCACTAAGATTCAACACCTGTAATATATTGATGTAAAATTCAGTCAAAGCATTGGCTAAAGTTCTCACTGTTTCTACGCTACTAACCAAATACTCTTGTATTCAAATTTTCTGTTATTTGTATTTTTTTGTTGCATAGGAGGTCGTGATCTTCAACCTAGACTTCCGTTTCTTCACAGCGAAAATTACTCCACAGATTTAGTGGTAAGCCATTAGCATTATTGCCCTAACTAAAATATTTGAAGGTTCAAGATGAAGTCCAATCCAGACTCACCGATTATTTCAATCAGTCCGAGACATTATATTCATGTGCTAAACTTGAATACTCATGTCACCTCACTTGTTGTTGGACCTAAAACATATGTTTGCCAACAGGATGAAAAGTGAGTTCGCGTATAATCGACCTATCACTTCTTAGGATTGTTCTCGGACCTGAGGAACTAACTGTCGTCCCGGCGATGATGTACTGCGTGATTCGAAACCCCGTTATAACAGACAAAGATGGTGTTCCAGTAGTCGATAAATTTGGACAGGTTAAAGTCCGAATGGGTGACGTGGAGTACCGTTTCGCCCAAGATCCTTTCCCATTGTATCCAGGTGAATCTTTAAAGGATATCGTTAGACCTCTCCCTGTTGTTCTGCCAAACTCAGCACTCAGATTACGAGCCGTTTCGGATTTCGAAGATGGAAACGTCAAGCGAATAGCTGGAGAGGAATGGTTGTTTGAGGGACCTGGTAAGTATTTTATTTTCCGGTTGGTCAGTGGTTGGTTTGGAAACAATTTATTTGACCTGGATATTATTACCATAGTCACGGATGTGAAAACTGCCAGAAGCAAGTTTCCGCTGTTTAAAATGTTTGAGGAAGTATGATCAACGGTTTTGAACTCTTGAAACATCTGCTTGTCTTAATTACTGATTGGGTAACTGAGTGTTTCAGTCACATTGATTGTGTTATAGGGTTTCGAATTGTTTTAATTTCTATCTATTTGTTCTGTATGTAGGGTTGTCAAACGTTTCGCTTTTGTAGTAAGTATATTCCACACATACTGTGATTACATTATGTTGACGCATAGATATTCGGATCAAAAGGTGTTGTAGCACAGTCTTATGCTAAGTTAATTTCTCATCCTACATACAAGATACATTTAATTGTGTACAGGAGCGCTGGTGTACGGCTTTTTTTCCAGACTCTACTCACTTTCGCTCGTCGGGGTTAAGCAGCATGTGTCTAGTGAAAAGATTCATTTCTTGTAGACTAGAAGAAACCTAAATTGTCTGGTAATTTATCGTGGATTCGGGAACTCGTGGTTATTGAATGTGACGATTAGATTAACCATCTGTCAATCACCAACTCAACTTTTCTAAAATACACTAAATCTTGGGAAGTATTACTTTGGTACAGTTATCGGTCTTTGATTACCAGACAATGGATTCTTGAAGGTGGATAAGTCGTATCACAAATTCTTGGTAACTGTAGACAATAGCTAGATCCTGCTTCTAATTTTGATGAAGTTGTATAGATTCCTGTAGTATGCGTTTAGTTTCCCTTGTGTCTGCTTTTATTTGAACTTGTTAAGACAGTGTATCGAACTTAGTTGAGGCGCTATAAATTAGGAGTTGTACATGCTTCCATGTGACTTTTAAAATTGCTGCTATCCAAGTTCGTGTTTAAATATAAAGCGGGAAGACAGTACATCTAGTCACAGCGTGCACTTATAAGTGTAGGTAAATCGTAAGTATCCGCATTCTGTTCAAATTTCTTACAGTTCAATCTCGATAGACGAGCTTTAGATTTGTTTATTGCAAGCTGAAATATTGGTCACACTGTATCAAAAGGTTTGGTGGTTGTATCTTTTATGAGCAAAATAGCTTTGTTATCATAACAGAGGTAAATTTGGATCAGCGAACAAATGTCACTTTAAATTTACGTAGAGGTGGTAATCCAACATGGTGCTGTGAGTCTTGTCATAATAAATTGTTCATTTTGCACATAAGCCCCATACGTACGTCCAAGGGAATTTGAAGCTTATTCTGAAAATATGAAACATGTTGTTGTGTACAATGTAATTGAATCAAATAACACTGCTGAAGAAATATTGAGTTTCTGTAGTTTCTGTGACTTCCCGTAACGCTTCAGTAAATTTAGGAAGGAAGACACGATTACTTTAGTCACTATAAGCGACGTATGAAACACAAGAATGCACTGGAAGTGGAAGTTTCACGTGAAGGGTATAAAACGATGTCTGCACGTTCATGTATGCATTATTTGCAGGGGTTAGCATACTATTTTTGATTATATGTTTTGAGCATATGTAAGTGAAAGAAAACAAACAGACTCCATTTAAATATTTAAATAAACTTGTTTTATTCATGTAGTTGGTATAACTTGTGTGTGGATTACCCTTGTTTTCCTCTGTAGGTACATATCACCCTAGAAAAGAGGTTGAAATTGTAAAATGTGAGGAAGCCAGAGTAATTCTTGTCAACTCTGCTCTTGTGATGGAGGCCACGAAAGATTGTGTCGATCGAGGTGGTGTTCCTCGTGTTTACGGTGAACGATGGTTAGTTACGACACCAGGTGCATACCTCCCTGGTGTCTATGAGCGAATTGTCGACGAGCGCAAAGCGATTACACTAACAGACAGAGTACGTGAACTATTAGGTAACCTTTTGTAACCAGCTATTTTCTGACTGTTCATATTCTGGTGGTATGTTTCACAAAGTTGTGGTGATGAGAGACTAAGATTAGTCGGTGTAAACCTATATAGACGTGAATACTGGTCAGAAGAGTAAATTTCTGTATATTTGTTTATGAAACTACTGTCTAACAAATAAGGTATTCTACGCCTTCAGATTTTAATCAAGCCAGAAATGTGTCTGTAGTGTGTTACAGATAATATGTGCTACTGTAGGGCATTTTTTGTCTTACCCAGTCACAGACATATATTCTGAAGAATGTAATGTGTAATAAATAGCACATATTTACTGTTTTGCTATCATAAAATGTATGCTATGATTGTAGTATGCAGTCTTATAGTTTTGAAGCTCTATGTTAATCTGCATGTATATTACTGACTTTTGTGATAAATATGACACCATGTTATTCTTTTCTATTTGTAAGAGTTTGAGTCTTCAGGTTGTTAGTGTTAGGGACTGAAATAGATCAGTCTCTCTGGCATATATACCCCCTGGTCGAATTGGCTTTATATTGGAACCAAGTCACGAGCGTTTTAAATCTGATGAGTCCCGAATGGGAAGGAACGTGCATCGATGCAAAACGGTGATGAATCTGCTTCTATGTTTAAACAACTTATAAAACGTATTACAGAAATCTAAAAACCATCGACATAATGTATTTGCAGATATACATTCTATAAATATTTACAGGTATCAGATTTCGTACGCTTCGCGTTAGAAGGTTATGATATTGGTTTCATGCAAACCAAACGAAATAAAAAAGATAGTGATTTGAAAATCAAAGCTGAAGTCGTACGAATTCTGCCATTCCTCCAGTCATGTACAGGCTTTTATTTGAAGTTGTAGAATACAGTTACTGCTCGTCGGTGTTCCTCCAAAATGTAGACAAAAGTCACCAAAGTTTATATGAAAACAATGGCGTCAACTTTCAAACGCACTTTCAAGTAAAGATACCCGACGTGAAAGCCTTTAAACTAGAATTGGTGTTTTGTTTGTTGACACCTCGTATGTTACATAGGTGATGTATTATGTATTTGACTAAATGATATATAGGTCTGTGCATACCTTTGTCTGACAACGTGAGGCCAAGAATGTACGGATAGTTATAATGCTTCTAAAATTATATATCAGTCTGACAATTGAATATTTTATTTAGTCAACGTAATTATTCATTTTCAGCGAGCGATATGTGTCAAAGCTGTTAAATCTCATTGTGACAAGTTCGGGAAATATCGCAAAGCTGGTGAAGAGTGGTTAATTACACATGAAGACGCGGAGTATCACATTTGCAGCGCACTTGAGGAGTTTGTGAGAGAGGTTGAAGTTACAATCCTACGTGTCCATCAGTTTTGTGTGGTAGTCAACCCTTGGGATGAGAATGGTGTTCCTCAGTTAGGGAGAAAATTATTAGTACGTGGTGAGAAGTCATTCTTTCTGAGACCAGGAGAGTATTTAGAAATGGGCGTTCAAAATGCTTATATTTTGCAGAACGACGAAGGCCTTATTCTTCGAGCTAAAGAACAGTTTGTTGACGATATATGTGGGGACGCTATATCTGAGGAGGACTCTGTCAAGCAGAAGAAATGTGTAAGTTTCTAATTGGTGTTGTCAGTTAGGTCTAGTTGTTCCAATATTTACCTCACTTAAGGTGGACATAAGTCTAGAAAAGTTTAAGCACCAATCTGAATTTGTGGTTTTTTGTTTTGAATAGTTAATGAGGAAGTGGATGTTGACTTTGCACGTGTTGTGTGTCAGTGAAACTATAGTCTGTCCACTTTACTGGATTCCGGTTCTTGTTGTTGATAAATTGGTTGCATATCTCCTACGTAATTTGTTGACTCAATTGATGCTTGGGCTGACTAGGAGAAAGGACAATTCATATAAGAGCATAGTGTTAATAATTAAGGTAATGTGTGCGTATGTTGGTATGTAGAGTTGTGCCTCATATGTAGAAGGATCGAACTGTTCGAATTTGAGTTGGAATTCCACCAGCCAAGTAGTACAATAAGCCTTTTCACAAAACAATGTGACTCAAGGCTGAGTATATGAACTTGTACTTGGTTATTAAGTCACATAGAACTTAGATTTCCAGTAGTATGAAATTTGATTAGTAAAATTCCTTATTATTAGTATACTGTTTGCCTTCGCGGTTTAGTTTAGGAAACGCAATATACGAAGACAAGTAACTTTAGCATATTGAGTTCTCGAGCTCGTCTGGTGATCGAATATTTGCGAATGGCGGAGATTCAACCTGTCAGTCCTGCCATTTCGGTGTTTTAATATTCATGAAATTAAGTCGAACTAACTTTTTCAGGATGTTATTGTTGTGTTTATTTTCTCGATCCAGTTCGAATCAACCCACCTATTATTTTTCCGTTCGTTATGATGAACTTGTTCAGGCCTGTTTTTGATTGATCACATATTATTCTCATTGTTCCGTTGTACTATTTAAACTTGTATTAGTTTTAATTTGGTTATTTATTCTCTGAAGAAGTGACTTACACTAAGTCATGAAACGTCAGAAAATCTGGTTTTTCTACTCATTGGGATATTACATATATATTTTTTATTTGTTTGTTCGTTATGATTGCTTCCTCTCTTCAGTGAGCGCTAATTTATTAAAGAAATATTTATTATTTGGTAGAGACGTTTACCCTGCTAGGTTGGATACGACCATACTTAGTGTTTTGATTTTATTTAACACCACTGATTTTAGGTACGTCGTCCTGGTGATCGGTGGATGTTACGTGGACCCATCGAATACATACCTCCCGTTGAAGTGGATGTGATAGATCGTCGTAATGTTATTCCTCTGGATTGTAATGAAGGGATCTATGTTCGTAATATGCAAACAGGACAAGTTCGTGCTGTTATTGGTGAAGCCTATATGTTAAATCAAGATGAAGAATTATGGGAGAAGAAACTCCCACCTGAGGTTGTTCAGTTGCTGGAAAGTAATATCGACCCATTTGCTGACCGTGGAATTCGATCTTCTCCAGATTCGGTTAACCGTCTTGACCCAACTCGTGTAGTTACTTTCCGTGTTCCACACAATGCTGCAGTTCAAATCTATGACTATAAAAATAAAAGGGCAAGAGTCGAGTTTGGACCGAATTTAGCTATGTTAGGACCGGATGAACAATTTACTCGTTTGAGCCTGAGTGGTGGGAAACCGAAAAAACCGAATGTGATTAAAAGTCTATGTTTACTGTTAGGTCCAGACTTTTGTACCGATGTTGTAATTGTTGAGACTGCGGATCATGCTCGCTTATCTTTGCAACTATCGTACAACTGGGTGTTCGATGTCTCTCCATCATGCAGTGCAGCTGATGCTGCTAAGTTATTCTCAGTGCCTGATTTTGTTGGAGATGCTTGTAAAGCTATTGCATCTCGTGTTCGTGGCACTGTTGCATCCGTCCAATTCGATGATTTTCATAAGGTAAGGTTTATCATTTTACAGTCTAGTGGTTCTATTGGATCAGTACACTGATTATATTGCAAATTTGTTCGGGTGGATGAGGGTTTAGTTAATCGTTTAGGTGCCTTCTATTGCCTTTTTTGTAGCGACTGTATACGTTTTGCTAGAGACATTATTAGTTACTGCGATATCTAGATGAAGGATTTATTTATGGTGTTAAGTTGTAGTGTGATTGTGACTCGTACTGATGAGAGAATGATATGACTGAACTTCATGTGACAATATAAGAAACTGAAAGAGAAACAAGTAGAATAGTTGAGTGAAAATCTAGAATAGTTTGTTGTTCAGAATCTATGGAAAGTTAAAGTATGATAGAATGTGTGGTACTGATACTGATTTAGAGCGATGTCGTTTAAATTCTTCATCGATTAGTAACATATGTTCAGTGCATTTGTGCTTGGAAGTCAGTACCTGGTTATACAGTTGTGCTCCTATTTTAACCAGCATTGCACAGCAATGTATTCAGTGAACACACATTACCCATAACAAAGCAATTCAGTCAATGAATGTGCACAATTTCATCAGGATTGCTCCCCTGATTATATTGCTGTAAATTTGCAATGATTTGAAAAGTTCCTTGGTTAGACACTTGAAGATAACTTGTTTGTTCCACCTTCTGGAGTCATAATCTTCACTCTAAAAGTGATACAACCAGACCATTTTGCTGTAAATTTGCACTTTTGCATAATGCATACGATACTTAAAGATCATATCAAAGTTCGTGATTCAATGTGCCAGCGATTTGTGCTTTGTGATGTAGTTGGTGATTTTCATATCTTCATGTTGAATTAGCTACTTACGGTTAGAATTTCGGCATCCATCTTCAGAAGTGTGGTGCCTGGGTTGAGGAATCTTCGTTCCAAAATGCTCAAGATACCAGACTAGTAAGGACAAGTCTGAGAGCCAGTAAAAATTACTTGAAATCCAATCTCTTATTCGAAATGAACATACTTGATGATGTTGTACCATCTAATAAGAAACTTAAAGTTGACTATCAGTGTTACATAAGTCAGTTATTTATGTAGTTGAGTTTAAGCTTTTATTTGTTAATGACTACAGTTTTGTATCTCTATCCTAGAAAGTGTACCGAGTTGTAACAAAATGCGTCACATGAACTGTGTAGAATTTTATGGAGAGAGAATTCATTGTGATTCTCAGGAGGTCTATTAAATGATGTATTATTCTTTCCATTTTCAATATTCACATTGCATACCACCATACTTGTTTCTGAAATATAGAATGGAGTAGTAAGAAGATTCCTTAATCAAAATGAACTGGTTGGTTAACAGTAAGATAAATTTTGGTGATGAAGAATAAGGATTGAGTCAGTAAGTCATTCAGCTACAACGTAGGACCAAGCAGATATATGCATCGGTCAAGTAATTGTATTTGAAGAGAGAAGTAGTTCTAGAAAATCGCTCAAACTAGTTACTTGTCAATACGGTGTTATTCTGACTTTAATTGGTGTATATTGACGGTAGATAGGTCACAGCTACAGTGAGGGTTATCAGCTGAGGACATCTTGAAGATCAGTGTTCTGTTTAAGGAGATTAGTGGAAAGCCGCAGATGTTGCTCAGAATTCGCGCGTCAATGCTGGAACATGACCAGTGTTTGAGTACGAAATCAGTGTAATCATACGAGTTTTGTTTCGGTGGGGAGCTTTATACCTCTGCTGCCAGCTAGAATTTTCAAAGAACAGTATGGTAGTTTTTTGAATTAGATTTTAGTATTGTTAGTGTTGATTACTGATTTTGAGCCTCAAGAGAAACTTTAATACTAGCCAGGACTTGGTTAGATCTGATCCATGAGTCCCCATGTAGGCGGAAACACTGTCATGAACTATACTCGTTTCCCTTATATTTTTATTTAGCACTCATCACGAATTATTCGTGCCTCCGTATTCGGATTGGATGAAGCTGGAAAGGTTCGGGATCGATTAGTTTTTCCTCAAAATAATCTGCATATTACAAGCGTGGATGTACAGTCTGTGGAGCCAGTGGATCAACGAACTCGTGATTCGTTGCAGAAGTCAGTTCAACTTGCCATTGAGATAACGACCAATTCGCAAGAGGCAGCTGCACGGTAAGCAAGCTGCATTCGTTTTGGCAAATATTTTGAGCAATGTGGTCATGTGTGCAGTACTCGTTAAGATGTGCATGAAGTCAGTAGTGTTAGTCGGTCAAGTTTTCTTTACAATATAACGTTTTCACTGTTTCACTTCCCCGGTTTATAGTGTATAGTTGATGCGTAGTAAGGTATTACTTTTGTCTGTTTTGAAAACTAAATTTTGAGTATGGATACTAGGGATAAGATATTTAATTGTCATGCTGATAACCGGGAGTACAGTTTATTCTGTGGTATTTTATTGTAGTCACGAAGCCGAAAGACTTGAACAGGAAGCCAGAGGTCGGTTAGAGCGTCAAAGAATTGAGGATGAAGCGGCTGCTGAACAAGCCAGGCGTAATTTGCTTGAAATCCGAGTGCAACTGGCTGCATTAGAAAGTAGTAGTCAAGCGAAGGCCGAAGCAGAGAGTCGAGCTGAGGCGAATCGTATTTCCAGTCAAGCTGCAGTGGAAGAGGCTAAACTTCGAGCACAAGCCTTATCTATTGAAACGGTGAGGACGTGTACAGTTGCATTTTCGATTTGTTTTCTTTATCTACGATTGCGAATCAAATTTGTGAGAATATTTGTGTTAGTCTTGTTATAGTTCCTGACATGATAGGAATTGGATGTAATGAAAACTTGTGTCGATGTTAGATTGAAGTATATATAGTGAAAGACTGATTTCGTTCGAGTTTCAGCTCATAAACATTATACAGGGATTAGTTGCATTTACTTTAATGAAACTCAATGTGATAAACTGACGAAACAATAATTATTATTCAGTAGTCATAATTTGTCATTGTGTTTGAACACATTCGGTGCGACAGGGAGACTAGAAATGTAGCCAGATAAACACGTTAATAATAAAAGGAGGAAATATAATAGTAGAATGTAGTAAGAATAGAGAAGGAATGACATAAAATGTATTTACAGAATTGCTGTCACGTTTTGTTCTTATTCTTGACGTTTAAGAACATTAGAAAACTGAACTTGCAGTTAAATTTCAGAAAATGATCTCATCCTGACTGTTTTTGAAGATTTCTTAAATTTTCTAAACAGCATTCTTTACAAATGTAATTTCTGGGACTTCATGTACTCAAATTGCTAAAAATACCAAATCGTTTAAAGATCCCCGTCATATTTAAAGACTAGTATTTGAACGAAGAATATTCTTTTCGATAAATTCTCTTCAGGTTCTACAATTATATATAATTATTTCTACAATTATATATAATTATTTCTACAATTATATATAGTTGGATGTATAATTGTCGAACCTGAAGAGAATTTATCGAAAAGAATATTCTTCGTTCAAAAATACTAAAGTTGATTTATGGTTAGTGGTTTAAAGCGACCTCTACGATTAATAGACATATCACCGTATTCTACAATTAGACCACATGCAAATACTCTCACAGTTTGATAATAATGATTGTAGAACGCATTGGTGCTTCGGACGTTTTGCACTTATGGATGTCAGACCTCCTAATCTTCCCTATCCAATTATCTCAATCATTCATGTTATTGTTTTCTGAATTTAAACAATATTTTCAGAATGCAGAATTAGAAAGACTTAAATTGGCTCGAGCTGCAGAGATCGCCTATATCAAGGAAAAGAATGAATTAGCTCTAAAGTACAGGGCAGACGAAACAGAAATCGAGAAATCGCGTTTCATTTCGATGGTGAATGCATTAGGTGCAGATACACTACGCGCAATGGCAACAGCCGAATCAGACCATAATTTGCGCATGTTGAACGCTCTGGGCCTACAAAGTACATTAATTACAGATGGGACGACACCTGTGAATTTGTTAACTACTGCTCATGGTTTAATCGGTTCAGTGTTTGAAGGTTCTTCTCGTAAACGTGCATCAGAGGTTTCAGGCAACGTAGATGAAAAATGAAGCTCAATCGATATTAACTGTTTACGTTCATGAGTTGTGCTTTCATTATACTTCCTTGATTTTTTTATATATCGTTTCAACATACTTTTTTCGTGGTTGGCTGTGATGATTTCTTAAAATGAATACTTAATAAAATTTGTGCTACGTGTGCTATCTAAAGTGTGTTTTTTATTTATCATGTTTCTGCTTGTATTATTTTTGCTATTGTTCAGAATATATTTAAGTGTTTCACAAGCAGCAAAAGATTGTCAGGGTGAATATACGCTTTCACAAAATATATATTAGATAGGCATAGTTTGAACTACTCATTTTTAACTAGTGTATAGTGTATCAAAACTGCTTGATGGTTTGAATTCGCATGAGGATTGTGTTAATAGTCAGTTGTGAAGCTTTGAAGAATTGGATCAGTCAGTAGTAACCGATGTTTGTTTTGAAACAAATATACAAGTGACCTAGTAACCACATTACATCAATACCATTAACTGGAATGGATCAGTTGGAAACCAAATGAGTTGGATCGATAATAGTATTATCACTGGTGGTAAGGTATATTAAACAACAAGAATGCCGTTTAGAAAGATTGAAAGAGATTAGGTAACACATGATGTGATACAATTGCAAATTCAAACCTAGCGACCGATGGCAATGAAAGAATGTGCAATTAAAGTGACCTTGACATAGTTGAAAATTCATAAGGCGATGAATGTGTAACTCATCTAATTATCTTACATGATGTAGCAGCGTATTGAGATTCACTTGAGATTTTTCTTACTCTTGCTCAGAGATTTGTTTTGGTCGGATGGTTGTGAAGGTTGCTTTGACTACAAACGTAAAACTATCAAACAACAGTTGAATTAATTGGTGTCGAAAATCATTACATGTGTTGTTATGATGAATCTTGATTTCTATAGAGAGCTGGGTTCTTTGTTAGGGGCGCAGATCAGATCGCACTTAATCATCTATTTATTTTGAATACGGCAAACTTATTTTTAAGAAACAAACTTTATTTCTCACGAAGGTCTACATATGATTACATAACATTCGATGAACGTGAGGGTATCTTTTGTTGTAGGAGTAGGTTGGAAGTAAGCTACGGGCTTTCAAACCATGACATGAGATTAGTTCATGTACTCATTGATAATTGGATTGAGTCATGTTGGTAGGTTCAAATTTGTTTTTTGGAATCCGTGCGTTTACCGGGATCAAGGTTGGAGGTCTGTGTGGGTTGACTCGGATTTGGTCACAGTGAAACCACATATAATCAAACCTGCTTTTTGACTTGTACCATTAGTTATCTTCATAGCAGCGTGATATACTAAATGGACATCTAACCCATAATACAAACGCTTTAACCATCTGGTTTGCTTGTAACATGGAACTAGTAGAAACAGTGTATTCCAACTATAGGCTTTGATTAAAGCAGTATGCATGCTTACCACAAACGTAAGAAAGCCTAACATCACAAAAGGAGGGAGGGTGGCGTTACTGACCAGCAAATATGATGGTGGGGAGATAACTTCAATCCACTCATGTATGTAGGGCAGAACATTTTGTTAAATTACGGCTCCCTATAGTCTAGTGGAATGTCACTAACTGGTGGTATTGATGCTGATTTATCATGCTAAATACTTCATTAAACCGTGTTTATAACGATGAATTGGTTTCACTTCCTACCGAGTAATCCTATTACATGCAAACTAGTCAATTCGCTAAAAACGAAGCCCACTCAAGACCCTATAAAAGTTAAAAAAAAAGGGCACAAACAGCTTCGACAAAGAATGGGAGACAGCCATTTGTGTATCGTAATACTGTTTTCAGCACTATTTTATCACTACACATAATCCCATACTCTCAGCTTCTTTCCGAACCACCTCCATTTTCAGTTGTTTATGCACTCATAACTCGCTTACACTTATTCTCTTTAACCTATTAAAATGCTCTTGCTTAATAGGTATTTCAATAAAAGAGAATTAGACTGAGTAGTCATGCCTTAATTATTCCTTTATGAACATTTTCTGCTCTGCTTCTCGAGGTTTATTTTTCTTGCAACATTTTACAGCCAGCTTGAGATATGCCACTGAAAACAGATGTGGTACGGGTGATTTCGTCCCGCACCATCATTAAAGCCTCAGATATTCAAGAGGTATATAAGGTTGGGGTTTCTAGAAGCCCCCAACTTCATATTAATCTATTATCGACCATCAGTTGCATGTCGCATTGCAGAATTCAAAAAGCGCGCCAACTGCGATACTGACTAAAATCATCTAAATTCATATCTTATAAAACATCAACCCAGCTGAGTAATTTACTACAGTGAAAATTCTATCATTTGTAACAATGTGACCATGTAAACTGGCATGCCTCATGTAACAAACTGATATTTGAGAATTTATTATTATTACTATTATTATTATTATTATTATTATTATTAACGTACACTGTTCACAAAATGTAAATGGCTATCATAAGGTTTTGATATGAACAATTGTTGACCACCTAATAATGAATAAAAATTCAACTTTAAAACGTCTCAAACTAAAAATAGACTTTACAACAATTACTTTTAAACCAAATAATTCCGCTTCAACCAATCCAGCATAGAAGAGCGCGGATATTAACATTTCATGTAAACTTTCCCACAGTGAAACATATAAATTCAATAATTATCTATCCTTTGATCTTGAAATTTAAAATTAACTTATACCGTTTATTACGCTGTCTCATTCATTCTTGTCGGATCGTGTTGTTTAAGCCTAATACTACTACTACTACTACTACTACTAGAGATTCACTCTTATGAGGTTTTTATCCTTTAATCTAGATTGGAGGTTTTTCATTGTTGGGTGTCGAACGTTGAGATGTTCATATGATAACCATAACAATCCATCTATGCTTTCTAATGGGAAACACTTCAACCTAGTTTTACGGGTGACCAACGCAAGGAGCTATTTCACGTGTGATGCTTATCCGTATGTTTACCTATTTCACCTCACGTATGTTACATGTCGATTACAGGAAGTTTCATAACAGTAGAGATAATTAAAGAACACACTGTGAAATGTAAGGGAGAATTGAATGCGTTAATGTTTTTCGTTAAAATACGTAAAGTGAAACTGGAGAGTATGTTCTATCAACGGTGTCCAATCATGTTTCGAAATACTTATCCCGACTTGTGCAAAAATTACAGGTTGAGGGACGTGATTTTCAGTTGGTCAATATCGATGTGCTAATCTTGTCTAGTATTTTGTTTGAAGAGTTGATTCGGCAATTTTTATTATTGTTGTCTAGTCTTGTCTACAGTATGACGAAGAGTCAACTCATCTGTTTCAATAGTTGAGGTGACTTCTGGCAGGTTCTACTGATTCAACCTAGTGCATTTATTTCTATTGTAACTGATTTATCTATCCATTTCATACGATAATGAATCAAGAAACAGTTGATCCCCTTTCATTTAGAAAAGTCATCTTTTATTCACAGGATTGTTCTTGTGCTTGTTATATTGCTCAGTCTTTTAGATGTTGTCTCTTACAATGAATAAACACAAGTGGCTAAAGATTTGCTCATACACCCACACACTATTCAGTTAAATATTAGTTTTGAAGAATATCATGATGTTTAAACATGGAATCAACTGATAGTTTAAGCACACAAATTATTCTAAAGTAAAAATCAATAGAGACTAAAGTGATAAAATAACTTCGAATCATTTAGTGAGAATACTTTGAACTGTAATACTGTTTTGTTTTTAAAATTTACATCTGACACTATCAAGTTAATTGCAACAAAGACTGATGATTAATTTGTTTTCGTATCTTCTCGTTGTTGATGTTCGAAATGAATTTTGATGTGTTTGTGTTCGATACATATGCATCCTGAGTGTATTGCTTTGTTATTGCATATGAGTAATAAGTATTTTCTGTAAAGATAGATTTATCAATAGGTTGTACAAAATGTTTTTTTTTTAATTATTCAGAATTGTACATTGCCGGATGAGTCATTTCTTTCTCTATACACGTTTTATCTGATTTCATAAATTTTGCCGAAATTCTAATTACCTCTGTTGAAACGAGTTAGACAATCAGGCCAATATGATATGTTATTATTTACACAACGTTATTATTATTATTATTATTATTATTATTATTATTATTATTGTTATTACTGCTACCCATAGTAACATTTATTATATTGCTATTATATTGATTTTGGCTTGAAAGTACTACAAATCATTCTGACCTTTAATAAATGGCCTTTCTAATTTTCAAATAACACAATATTGAAGTATACACAAACGTTCACCATTTTCAACATAAAGCATTGTCAAATTTATTAATGTATGCTTTATTTTGGCTTTCGTAAAATATAATAATTATGGACTTATAACGTAGAGCATGATGATTAAGTTATTGAAAGCGATTGTTCACTCAAATATGGTTTGTTTTTATAAATCTACTAACTTACTCCAAAATACATACTTATTTAGATAATTCTGTAATCTTGTTGAAAATAGCCTTTCAGACTAATAAAAGGAACTGAAATTAAGAAGTCAAGTGTAAGTGTTACGATCTCAGAAAAAGACGATACTCTTATCTGCTTTCAACCCAAACGTTTAAAACGATGGGCGGAACACTTTGAGGAGCAGTTCAGCTGGCCTTCAGCTACTCTACAGCTACTCACCGTTTTCAGACAATATGAATCGAACATTGAAGTAGGCCCTCCGACTCTAGCTGAAGTTCGGAAGGTTATAGTTAATCTGAAACAGGGAAGAACAGCTGGTCCAGACAGACTGGCTCCAGATGTCTTTAAGTATGATGGCCTAGTTTTAGCGATTAGGTTGACTAATATTTTAGCTAAAATCTGGGAGTTGGACGTAATCCCATCTGAGTGTTCGCAATCACTGATTGTCTCAATATATAAGAAGGGGTAAAAATCATCCTGTAATAACCATTGTGGGATTAGTTTGACTAATATAGCATCGAAAATGCTAGCCTCAATAATTATCGAACGCCTATCGAACCGCAAACACGAGAGAATCAAGCTGGCTTCAGACCTGGTCGTGGATGCATAGACCACATATTCACCATTCATCAGGTTCTAGAACACAGGCATACTCATCGGTGTCCGACAATTGTGGTCTTCCTTGATTTAAAAGCAGCATT